CTTACTAGACCAGGACACAAGTGATCGACCAAAATATTGACAACTTCCACTTGTGCTTTTTCTATCAGTAATGCTGCCAGCAAAGTCTGAGTCAGAGTACCCAATTAGGGAGGGACAATCAGATTTAGGATACCAGAGACCAAGATCATGAGATCCTTTTAAGTATCTAAATATCCTCTTTACTGCAGTTAAGTGACTTTCCTTTGGCTTATGCTGAAACCGTGCACAGAGACAGACACTAAATTGAATGTCTGGTCTACTAGCAGTTAGGTACAGTAGGGACCCTATCATGCCTCTGTATTTATGTTCACAAACAGATTTTCCATTTTCATCATAGTCAAGATGTGTATTTGTAGCAAGGGGGGTTTTGCACGAGCTAATGTTTAATAGTTCAAACTTAGCCAGCATAGATTGTAAGTATTTGGTTTGATGAATGAAAATCCCAGAGTCTGTTTGAAGAATTTGCAGGCCTAGAAAGTAAGTTAACTCTCCCATCAAGCTCATTTCAAACTGATTCTTCATAATGAAACAGAATTCTTCACATAAACTGGGATTTGTACTACCAAATACTATGTCATCAACATAGATTTGCACAATCAGAGTGTGATTATTTTTCCTTTTTATAAATAGAGTTTTATCTACTCCACCCTGAATGAAGTCTTGAGAGATAAGAAAAGCAGTTAGTTTCTCATACCAAGCCCTTGGGGCTTGTTTGAGTCCATAAAGAGCCTTGTTTAATTTAAAAACATGGTCAGGGAATTCAGGGTCGATGAAACCAGGAGGTTGTTCCACATACACATTCTCTTTAATTTCTCCATTAAGAAAGGCAGATTTTACGTCCATTTGATATAGTTTAAAGTTCATGTAGCTAGCATAAGCACAAAGAAGTCTAATTGATTCTAATCTAGCAACAGGGGCGAAAGTTTCATCATAATCAATTCCTTCCTCTTGATTATATCCTTGAGCTACAAGCCTGGCTTTGTTTTTGATAATGAATCCTAATTCATCAGATTTGTTTCTAAAAATCCACTTAGTACCAATTATGGTAGTATTTAAGGGCCTAGGAACAAGCTCCCACACACATAATCTAACAAAGTGGGATAACTCTTCTTGCATAGCCAGCAACCATTCATCATCAAGAATTGCTTCCTTGAAGCTTTTTGGCTCAAGTAAAGAGACAAAGGCATACTGACCTGGAATGCTCTTACCTCTGGTTTGAATTGGATCAGAAAGATTACCAATTATCTGTGATGGTGGGTGCCTTTTCTGATGTGGGGTGGAGCTTCTTGATTGGACGTGGATTCATCAGGGCATGGTTCAGTTGTGGAGGGAGGATCGGTAGGAGACTCAAGTCTGGAAGAAGTACCTGTCTCATGACAAATGCTAAGGGGCAGAAAGTCATAGTCACAGATATTAGACTGTAGAGGTGAATTGGGTTCAGATTTATCAAATCTAATATGAACTGACTCTTCTACTTTCCTGGTCCTATTATTGAACACCCTGTATGCCTGCCCTTTAATTGAATAACCTAGAAATGTGGCAATATCTGATTTTGCATCGAATTTGCCAAGTGAGTCTTTGGTGTTCAGTATGTAACATTTTGACCCGAAAGGATGAAAATAAGATATCTTAGGCTGTTTCCCTTTCAAAATTTCATAAGGGGTTTTATTAACATGCTTGCGAATAGTAGTACGATTTAATATATAACAGGCAGTGTTAACTGCCTCCCCCCAAAGAAACTTAGGGCAATCAAACTCTAAGAGCATAGTTCTAGCAGTCTCAATGATTGAATGATTTTTTCTCTCCACAACACCATTCTGTTGTGGAGTTCTTGGTGCAGAGAATGTGTGAAGAATGCCATGATGATCACAGAAGTTTTCAAAATCATTATTTATAAACTCACCACCATTATCGCTTCTAATGCTTTTAATTAAGCAATCAAACTGATTTTTAACTAGGGCAGCAAAGGACCTGAATTTGTTGAACGCTTCATCTTTAGAAGCTAAGAGATAGATCCAAGAGAATCTGGAATAGTCATCAACAAGTACAAGTACAAAGGATTTACCACCTAGACTTTGCACATTAGTAGGACCAAATAGGTCCATATGAATAAGTTCAAAGGTGGAGGATGAAGTAATATCCTTTTTACTCTTAAATGACTTTTTGCAGTGCTTCCCTAGTATGCAAGCCTCACAGTTAAACTTATCTGACCCCTTAATTTCAGGCAGACCTCTGACTAGGTTGAGTTTAGACAGCTTAGCAAGTCTAGAGAAGCTCAAGTGACCTAGATTTCTATGCCAATTTACTACAGTCTCAGAAAGTGAACTCAAGCAAATGTTTTCAGAGAGATCCAGAGTGGATAAGTCAATAGTGTAAACATTGTTCATTTTCTCTCCTTTAAAGATGACTGTTTTATCAGAAATTCTTTCAATAGTGCAGCAGAAGGGGTCAAATGTTACACTATAGGTGGATCCACATATTTGACTTATAGATAGTAAGTTGTGTTTTAACCCTTCAACATACAGAACATCTTCTATAATTAGAGATGGATTGCTGCTTATAGTACCTTTACCTACAACAGTAGCACAATTATTGTTGCCATAAAATACTTTACCTCCTCTTTTTGGATTTAGAAAAGTAAAAAGATCCTTGTTACCAGTCATATGATGCGAGCATCCGGAATCTAAGTACCAGATATTAGCATCTTTATTGTTCTGAAAAAGAAGAAGATTAGTTAGAATTTTTAGCAACCCAAACGAGTTTGGGTTTACTTTTCCTTGAATAACAGTGATAAAAATCATGTCCTAACTTTTTGCAGAAGGAACATGACAGTGGAATATATCGACCAGTTGATGGTTTAAAGTGAGCAACAGGTTTATAAACTTTTCTGACCCAGTTGTCATTCTTAATTGGTTGAGGAAGAAGATAATTCTTCCTCATTACATGATGACAGTAGTTAATTTCACTCTTAAGTCTATTGTTTTCGTTAGTAAGAGATGCAATTTGATTATCTTGAGTGTACTGAGCAATCTGTTGAGCATCAACTAGATCCTTGAGACGCACAATTTCAGATTCCTTTTCATGAAGTTGTGTCATGGTGAGGCAAAATTTACTTTTTAACCTATTACACTCTTCTTGAAGATTTGAAAGAGCATGGAGGAAGAAGTCTTCGTTTTGATTACTAGAGGGAGATTCAGAAGATGATTCTGACCATACCTGATTACTAAGAACATCTTCCTCTTTGGAGTTGAGACCCATGAAAGCAATAGCTTCTGAATCATCCTCTGAGCTGTAGTCGCTCCATGAGGCCACCATTGCTTTTTCTTTCCTTTTATTCAGAGGGCAGTTAGCCCTAACGTGACCTGTTTTGCCACATTTGAAGCAGATGGTTGAGTCATACTTGCTATTACTAGAATTTTTGTGATCTTTAGGACTGCTATCAGCTCTGTTAGAACCAAAGGAATTTCTTTCATTGGTTCCACTAGACTGATGTCCATATGTCCTAGAAGAATTGTTAATCTGGTGGCCAGATGATCTGTTATTATAATTATTGTTCTGACCTTCTCTCTTGATATTCTGATCGTGTTTAAACCTGATCATTCTTTGGAGTTTTTTACTGGTAAGGGCTAGTTCATTTTCGAACTCCTCATCCAGTTTTTCTCCCTCATTGGTATAGGCAGTATTAAACGCTATAGATTTATTTTTCTTATCCTGTATTGAATTCATTTGCTTAAGGACTTCTTCATGGCTTAGAAGAGAGCCAATTAAGTTTTCAAGAGTAAGAACATTGAGATCCTTTGCTTCCTCGATGGCTGTTCTTTTTGCCATCCATTCAAGAGGAAGTGATCTAAGAACCTTTCTGACCAGTTCTTTACTTGAGAAAGTTTTCCCCAGTCCCTTTAGTCTGTTGACCAGGGTGGAAAACCTCTTATCCATTTCAGATATTGACTCACCAGATAACATGTCAAATGTTTCATACTCTTTTAACAATAAATCAATCCTAGTTTCTTTTACTTCTGAAGTTCCTTCGTGTGTAGTTTCAAGTATAGACCAGATTTCTTTGGCTGATTCACATTTATTAACTCTCTCTCCTTCATCATCAGATATTGCATAGAGTAGAATGTGCATAGCCCTAGAGTCTAATTGAGCACTTTTCTTTTGTGCATCGGACCACTCCTCCTCATCGTCATCTTTCATGTCAATTGGCCCATTACGGACAATTGCCCATAAATCACAATCGATTCCTCGGAGGTATAGTCTCATTCTCTTTTTCCATACAGAGTAATTATTACCAGAGAACCATGGAGGATTAGAACTGGTGGGGAAGGAATGAGAAGACATAGATGAAAGAGGATCTCCTTCTCGGCAACAGTAAGTTCCACGAAAAGGAGGCTCTGATACCAATTGTTATTTAGCTATGTCTATGATTCAATCCCAGACAATTCCATACCAAGGTTGGTAGACAATTAAAATAGAAAAGAGAGACTGATTGAATTCCTTAGTTCAGGAAAGATCACAATCTCTATGACAGTACGAAAGCAAACGACGAACAAAAGACAAAGAAAAGAAAGTGAAACAAGAACGCAAGCTATGCCCAGAAGAATTAGAGTTCCTGGCTCCAAGCCCCAACTCTAATTCAACCAGACACAGGAAAACAGAACCCAATCCTAAGGCTCCCAAGGAACTAACCAGTTCTACTGAGCCGAGGAAACCGTTGCTTTCTTCTTTGAGATGAGCTCTATTTATAGCGTCTGTGAGTACTTCCTTGCTCGATCTTCTTTATTGTAAAGTGCCGTTGAGCTGCATTGATGAGGGCGAAGATCGATGCGCAGAGAACTCCTTCGTCGTTCTCCTTCGTCGTTCTTCGATGATATTGAGGATGGAATTAAAGGCGCAGACGCGAATAGGTCTTGGAGTGGGGAGACGACGGAGTGAGTAGGTTTAGTGGGCCATGAGTGCCTTCGGGCCTGCGATGGTCTTTGACTAGGTGAACGACAAGGCCCAACACTCGCAACAAACCAGATAACATCCTTCATTCATTAAGCAGCTAGCCCACCACAGTACTACTTAACAACACACTTAAACACTAATCGTCTCAAATGAAACCACACTTAGCAACAATAAAACTGATCACCACATAAATAAATAGTCACTCCTAACAACAACGAAACTCCCTACATAATCGTTACTTCCGATCGAACAGCTACATCCTGAACAGATTCATTGTCACTCCTTAATTAACCACAAGAACACACTAGTTATTAGCAATTAATTAACCATCATGGGGCTCCAAGGAAGCGGCGGAGGAGATCCCTGGCTCGCAGCGGCTGGTAACTGCCGACGTACCCACCGGAGCCGCGGACGGTGGAGAAGGTGACGTTGTTCTTCCTCCCCATGTACACAGACGTGTACCCACCCACATCCCCATTGCTGTCCTTCCAGTGGCCAAACTCGGCCGGATCAGTGTGATTGAAAACCTTGGCGAGGCAGTACTTGGTGGAGGTCACCGGAGGCCGGGCATTTTCGTCCCCATGATAGACGGCCAGCTTCAGAGAATCTCCCTTTCCCACCAGCTCTTTCAGGGCGTCGATAATCCACGTCGGCTTCTCGGACCCCGGTGGTACCAGCCCCGGTGACAACGCCTTACTGCCAATGAATCAAAACATACAGAGTTAGTATATACATACTATACTCGATCGTAATAAACCAATTCATTTATTTCTATCAAAACAAAATCGAAATAAGTAAAAGAAAAATAGACCTGCAGATATGCCAGGGCCCCGGAACTCGGCCAGAAGAATTGGCGTGGAGAGCCTGTTGGACGGCCGGCAGCTGAAGGTATTGCTCCAGGTAATTTTCCGAGCACGGGTCGTACCATAAGTACTTCTGCCAATTTTCACATAAATTAGCAAAGAAAATTTCATAAAAAAATAAACAGAAGGGACGCGGCATTGGAAAGCGGGTTTCATTACTTGAAAAAAAGCCACGTAGATGGACAAATTGATTGATTTGCAAATGAAATGAAAGTTGCAATAATGTAGATGCTCTTACCGAACTGGGCCGCGCCGCTGCTGTGCAGAGTGGCTCTTTGATGGCCGAAATGTAAACCGCCAGCCCGATGGCCTCCTGATGCATTGCCGTGGCACAGTCAAGGGGAGACTTAAGCACGCACGCTCTGAGCACCTTGTCCCGGCCAGCCTTGCCCATCATCCCGTTGATCGTCAAGTAGTCGACGAATCCTTCGAAAGTGGACTCCAGGTCCATCTCAGGATTACCCAGCTGCGTAGCGTAAAGAAGAAGAAGAAGAAAAAACATTAATTACGTACGAATTAAAAGGAATTTTAATAAAAATGAGGAGAGGAAGAGACAGAGCTCGCACCAGCAATCCTTTCAGCGGCGGCAGCCCAGCTAACAGCGACGGTTCCCGTGTGGCGTGGAGAGCCAATCGAACAGCATGATGCGCTCCGAACCCTTCCCCGAGGAGAAACATCTCGTTGAATCGGTGTTCTGGAAACTTCTTGGTCCAGCCTTGGAGGAAACTCACGGCTTCTCTGGCGATCTGGTTGCCCGATGTCGCTTCGCCGGCGGTGAGGTTCTTGTTGGAGTAGGAGAATCCCACTCCCGCTGGGAGGTCAACGAACAGGACATTGGCTTCTGGAAAATCAGTTAGCAGAAATGAAAATAACGTTAAAATTGACCACAAGTAAAGGAAGCAAAAGAGTTTAAGTTGAAGTAGTTAGATAGAAAGCTACCCTTGTGCCAGGAATACTCGTTGAGCCGCAGGGTCAGGTCGGCCTGGACCCGGAGCGGGCCGACCTCCAGCATCCCGCCATATCCGACGGCGGAGCAGAATCGTCCTTCCCCAAAACGGCAAACAACGTATTAGTTAGTGACTAAAACCCAATCAACAATTTAATTAGTTGATGCTGTTAATAACAATAATTAGTAATTACCTGAACTGACCCACACAATCAGAGGGGCTTCTTCGGCGGGACGGGCGGAGCCGTCGTGTTTGACAAAATAATAGAAGAAGTGTCTCGCCGCTGCAGCTCCACCGCCCACGTAGCCGCTGAAGTGCATCAACGGCAGCTCCCCCGCCGGCTGACCGGGCAGATGCCCAACCCTGTCCTTCTCGGCTGCCGCCGACATCCCTGCAGCGACTCCGATCAGAAGGGAAATGCTCGTCAGCACGGCCGCGGTACTCGTCATCGCCAACGCCCCCATTTGGTGCCTCCCTCACGATTTCCTCTCTATCTCTCTTCAAACTGAAAACCGTTTCTTTAAAATTTTCTCTCTGTGTGTGTGGCAGAGGCCGCCTTTATATAAAGAAAATGGCCTTTGCTTTAATCTATCTATCTACCTCTTCTATCTCTACCTCTTCTACCAACTAATATAAAGAGATTCTGAACAGAGAATGGGTTAGAACACAAATAGAGGCATGGCCGCATCTCACGGAAGGCTATTAAAGTCTTTCTACATTATATAATACCACTGCCGAGGGAGTTTAGATTTACATGATTATGTTATGTATTTGGGTTGGGCTTCCAAGTTTGGTCTTTGGTGGAGAATGCTGATGATTCTCCAATAATTTGAGACTCATATTAGGAATAGACCACAGCCTAATCCTAAAAACTAAAACCAGAAACACTATTCTTAATTATCTTTTTTCACTTCGCAACACTATTCCGCCCGAAGGTTAAATCATCTCCGCTACAAGTCTACAACACATATAGTAGAACAATGACAATGGATAAATGAGTCTCAAATTATTGTGGTTCATGATTCTTACTCGAGTAGAATTGCTTAAAGTAGTGAGATTGATATTTAAGTTAAATTTAGATTATTGATCATTATATTATATAACTATAATTTATCAATGAAAAAATTATTTGAAATTGAAAATAAATTTGATCATATTGTATAATGAACTGAAGAACATATTTAATCCTTGGGAAGGAGTTAGAAAGGGGGCTAAATTTGGTTAGATGTAGCTGATTAATAATACTATAGCTATATGTTTTACTTTCTTGAAATTCACTTTTAAGTAGTAGATTTTATATATAGAGATTAATTTTTTTCGAGGCCAGAAAGGGCTATGAAGAAGACCTTATGGAGGTTTATCTCAAAATTCAAATGCGAACAAATGAAAAATCTTAATTGAGGCATGTGCAACGAATTGGTTCAATCGTTCAAAAGTGTAAAAATAAAATACAACACCCAAAACTGCTTCTAATTTCACTAAGGTTTATTGTCTCATCATGATCTACACTATTTAGTTATCCAATGTGGTATGTGGTCCTCACATCTTAGGCCAAGAGTAGCGAATCTTTTTGTCGAGACCTCTAACAAGTGTTAAAAATTTTACTTGCCTCCATAAATTGAAGATATTTAATCCTACATTCGATTACGTGATTGACAATTCTCCATGATGATTTTGGTAAAAAACACAGACAAATTTTTAATGAGGTCCGGAAAGACATCGACATAGAAATACATTACATGATATAGAATCTATAATCTAGAGTCATGGTCAAGGATTAAAAACCCATTAAGAATCAACAACCTTGGAGAATTATAAGTCAAGAGTCGATACTCATTAGTTAAAGCCCAATCGAAGGAATAACTAACAAGCTAATGCGAAAGGACCTACCGAAGAAACTCTAACCATTCAATCACTTTATTTTTAAAAATTTACAACAGGGCCGATCAAATTACCATAATAGCAATTGAAATATATCTTATTTTATAAAAATGTATATTATTAACAAAATACATCTAATTCCGCCAACAATTGTAAAACCTAGACAGGACCAAACTAACCATTTTCCTACTAAAGTTTTGGAATTCAATTTTTTTTCGCACAAAAATTGGATCAACTATGCATATAAAAATTTAGTTTGATAATTTCATTTTGAATGAGTATCAAATTTAACTTCTCAAAAATGGTCTTAAACAATTTCAAAAAATATAGCACTTAAGTTTTGCTTATAGTGAAATGCTGGAGAAGAAGAAAGAGTATGCTATTAGTGTAGACAGTGGATTTTGTAATGAAGATAATAAAGTCGTTAAAATGAAGAAAAAAGTTGTTGATGGTAGATGTTAAAATTTCAATTATTGGAGGAAAGAGTGAGTCGTTGATAGTATTTATCACTTGAATGAAGTAAATTTTAGTAGGTTGAAAATAATGTTTCACATTTACAAATATTTTACAATTAAAGTTTGTTTTTAATGAATGCACGAGAAAAGAAAGTGACTATTGATGCATTAATTATGAATATTCTAATTACTCATTAGCGTAGATGAAGTCGCGTGGAGAAGATAATATTTTTGATAGCAGAGCAATTTCAAAAAAATCAAAATAAATTTTGAAGTGATTTCTTACATTAAGGAGTAAATTGAAGTGCGTTGATTACTATGGTATCAAAAATGGTCTTAAACAATTTCAAAAAAAATAGCACTTAAGTTTTGCTTATAGTGAAATGCTGGAGAAGAAGAAAGAGTATGCTATTAGTGTAGACAGTGGATTTTGTAATGAAGATAATAAAGTCGTTAAAATGAAGAAAAAAGTTGTTGATGGTAGATGTAAAAATTTCAATTATTGGAGGAAAGAGTGAGTCGTTGATAGTATTTATCACTTGAATGAAGTAGATTTTAGTAGGTTGAAAATAATGTTTCACATTTACAAATATTTTACAATTAAAGTTTGTTTTTAATAATTGCATGAGAAAAGAAAGTGACTATTGATGCATTAATTATGAATATTCTAATTACTCATTAGCGTAGATGAAGTCGCGTGGAGAAGATAATATTTTTGATAGCAGAGCAATTTCAAAAAAAAAACAAAATAAATTTTGAAGTGATTTCTTACATTAAGGAGTAAATTGAAGTGCGTTGATTATTATGGTCTAAAAAATGGTCTTAAACAATTTCAAAAAATATAGCACTTAAGTTTTGCTTATAGTGAAATGCTGGAGAAGAAGAAAGAGTATGTTATTAGTGTAGACAGTGGATTTTGTAATGAAGATAATAAAGTCGTTAAAATGAAGAAAAAAGTTGTTGATGGTAGATGTAAAAATTTCAATTATTGGAGGAAAGAGTGAGTCGTTGATAGTATTTATCACTTGAATGAAGTAAATTTTAGTAGGTTGAAAATAATGTTTCACATTTACAAATATTTTACAATTAAATTTTGTTTTTAATGAATGCATGAGAAAAGAAAGTGACTATTGATGCATTAATTATGAATATTCTAATTCCTCATTAGCGTTGATGAAGTCGCGTGGAGAAGATAATATTTTTGATAGCAGAGCAATTTCAAAAAAAAAACAAAATAAATTTTGAAGTGATTTCTTACATTAAGGAGTAAATTGAAGTGCGTTGATTACTATGTTTTAGGAATTGGTTTCCTTGCATGAGTTGTGTTTTTCACATTTTTACTATGAAGATGCTAGAAAACTTATGTTCAACGGTTTACTAATTTATTTATACTATTAATATTATTTATCCGACCAACGGGCGAGCACAAATCTAGTTTATGGTATGGAGATGCCTTTAATTCGCTGGAGAAAACACAGAGTTCCCCAGTCACCAAATAATTGTACGCTGATAGGGGAGTATAGCTGAGATTGATAGATGGTCTAAGAAAAGGTTTTGCTTGGTAGGTTGAAGAGTGTATGAGATTTTTTTGTTGTTGTTGTTGGTAGAACTAGAAAGGTATGAGAAAATTGATTTTATATGCAATAATACTATTAATTATTAGTAAAACTGTGTGACTAATTAATGTAATTGTGAGAGGAAAGAAATTGTAGATGTATTGTGCGACATTTTTATTGTCTCATGGTGTGACATGAGAGTTCTTGTTAATAATACGAAATGTATATCGATCGGATGCGTGCAAACCCCTGGAAATAAATTGAAGGAATTGAAAGTAACGCTAGGGGTCAACCATGAAGTTGCGTGATTACTAACTGAATAATCACATATCTCGTGGACTGTTCAAGTCCGATAGAACATAATCACATATCCGGATATAAATCCAATCAGAATAAATACAAATTATTTGAGATCATAACCGCTTAGATCACGACCAATTTCAGCGATTATGTTTCCGATTGGATCACTTATTCCTCAATCTTCATTATAATATAAATAGCGCCTAATTGGTATAAGGGGTCCAGTATACTACATGGAGGTTTACCATAAGTACCCTACACCTTTTTTCCATATACCGTAAATTTCTCCTTTCTCCTCCTATGTCCCCTTTGTCGAACGTCTGGTGATTAGGCAAGTGACATTGCCGCCGTAAAATCGCTTGGCTGGGCTACCTCTTCTCTCCCAGTATATCCCCAATGAATCAATAGCCACATCTCGGCAGACTGCCGCCGCTTGAAATTCCAGAAGGGAGTTCATCGGAATTCACCGATTCCCAAAAGAAAAATTGAAGCCATGGGAGATGGACATGACCTCTTCTCTCTTGGCCGACCGGCGTTGACAATGGAAACCCCAATCCACCACCATGATTAACTCTTGCATGCTTCTCCTACTCCAACGAAGTTGAATGACGACGGAGTAACCACAGAAATTCTAAGCACCAGTACTTTTCAGGCTTCGTGCAAGTAACTCATTTTTTTAATTTCAAAACCCAGCCCACCTCCAATTTCGAAACTCAGCTCCTGTTCCTTCAGCTAGCTAGCTGCTTTAAATTCGTGCATGCAGAGAGACTCAAGAAGGTGAAACTTGCTCTTGAAAACATCTCGATCGATCATCTTCTTCTCCCTCTATGATTTGTGGGATTATAAGAGTAATAATGAGTCACATTTTGGAAACTAGATCTTAGAGGTTGTAGTAGGAAAGAGGAAGGAAGTCCAATTGGTTGGATACCATTTGTTGCATCGAGTGAATATTACACGTGTATAGCTAATTAAGAGATATGGAGTTACCCTGCTAAACAAATGTCAAGTAATTAGGAAGATTGAATTTTTTTGTTTTGGTTATTGCATGAGCTATATCAATCTTAAGAGTAAACCAAGAGTAAAATTGATAATAATTAATGATTATTATTAGGAAGATTAAAATTCTTTTGTTTGATTTATTGCATGAGCTATATCTCTGTGTGTCGACCAAACAAAGAATAAAACAAATACATTGATTAGTTACAAATGAAATTCAAGTTTAGTATCCTGAGTTTTAACTAATGGATGATTATTTCGTTCCATGATATATATACTTTCCTTTTATTATAAGAAAAATATATATAAATGTTTTGGATAGATAGATCCAGCAAGATGCCTTTTTATGAAAATACTACTTTTGTAACTGAAGGTCGATGGAATATAGAAATTCTCTAAACATAAACATAGTTTTACATGCTCTTTGCC